CGCTGCCTGACTGTGGGCTGGCATCTGCCTCGAACCCCAGTTGCAAGCATCACTGCTGCTTTCCTCGTCCCTGGGCCCTGCAGTTTCTGGGCCCTGAGCAGGTGCCAGGCATGGATTAAGGATGCCCTTGCGATTCGGGCCAACAGTGGAGAAGCTCGTGCAGCCCCCTGGAATCACATTTCTTTTGTGCCCCACCCAGCACTCCTGTTCAATTTGCTCTGGACCTTTTTGTACGCCAGAAGGGTGATTAAAACCATTAGTAACTCTCGGAACTGAGATTGAAAGGTCAAAAGAAACCAAAAACATGTGTCCGTTGCAAAATGGATCTGTTTTGCTCTCTGGTAGTGGCCAAAACTTATCCACTATGAAAGAGAAGGAAAACTAGAGCGTGGAAGTTTCCAGTAAAGAGCCGGGTGCCAGGCATTTGGAGGTTGGTGGACCCCACGGCCTCTGCTACAACTGTTCAGCTCTGCCCTTGCACATGAAAGCAGCCCCAGAAGATACACAACTGAGTGGGCTTGGCTGTGTGCCAACAGAACTGTATTTACAACAGGAAGAGGGCTGGACTAGGCCATGGGTGCAGTTTGCTGACCTCTGGTTAAACACACTCCCTCCTGGTGTGCCAAGAGGCACCTACAAAGGCTTATGGTGGTGGAAAGCTGGCCACAAGCAGTTGTGTCCATCAGCATGGGTCTGGGTGGACAGCTTGAGATACCGAGCGTAGAATACTGCACAGCAAAGAAAAGGAGTGTGTATGTGTCAGTGAAATATATAAATGCAAAAGTTGGGCCCACCCAGAGGATGCACTGTGTGGTCCGGGTGGCAGAGCCCATGCTGCCACGCTGAACACGTGACTTATGACGGTCTCGAGGACTGGGTATAAAAGGTGCTGACTCCTCCCTTCAGGTTGACCTCTCTCCTCAGCTGTGAACATGAATCAAAAGACTCGATAGAGGTGCGTTAGTCTGGAATCTCCCAGGAAACAGAACCAATAAGATGTGTGTTTATGGAGAGAGGTTATGGGGACTGGAAAGTCTGAAATCCCCAGGGGAAGCCCGCAGTATGGAAATTCCAGCAAGAGTCAGTGCTGCGGTGAGAAGGCAGCCTGAGGCAGAATTCCTTCCTTCTCATGGAACAGTCTTTTCTCTTCACCAGACTGGATGGGACCCACCCATGTTATAGAGGGTGATGTTTATTCTGTCAACTGTTTTAAATATTAATCACACCCAAAAATGCCTTCACAGCAACAACCAGACTGATGTTTGACTGAACAGCTGGGCACCATAGCCTAGTCAAGTTGACACAGAAAATTAACCATCACAGTTGGTAACTTGTCAGTTCTACAGTCCTTTTCAACCTGATCTAGAGTCATTGTAACCCCAATTAAAATCCAAGGCTTAAAAAAAAACCCAAAAATAATTGATAGGCTGATTCCAAAATTCATATGGAAGTGCAAAGAAACTAGAATAGTCAAAACAACTTTGAAAAAGATCGAAGTTGAAGGATTCACAGTACCTAATTTCAAGACTTACTAGGAAGCCACGGTAATTAAAACAGTGTGGTATTAATGAAAGAATAGACACTTAGATCGATGGAACAGAACGTAGTCCAGAAATTGATTCACACACATTCATCAATTGATTTTTTTAAAAAAGGTGCAAAGGCAATTCAGTGGAGAAAGGATAGTCTTTTCAACAAATGGTTCTGGGACAATTAGATATTCATATGTAAAAATCTAAACTTGTTCCATATTTTGCAACATATTTTTTAAATAGGGGAGGCTGATCTTTTCTGTGCCTTGGTTTTCTTCATTGCATCACTTTCACTTTCTCTTTCCATTTTCATTATTAGCAAAGAAAACAGATATTTTTGTAGCTAAATAACAAAAGTGCCAAGTAAAAATGAGTATGGATTTAAGGGCTTAAATTTTTAAACATCAGTTCCTAATCTTAAAATACATCAAGTTAATATCTAAAAATTAAAAAAAGCACAAAATGGACCATAAATCTAAATGTAAAACCTCAAGCTATTACACTTTTAGAAGAAAACAGAAAGAAATCCTTGTGACCTTGAGTTAGGAAAGAGGTTCTCAGATAAGACACCAGAAGCATAATTCACAAAAGAACAAATTGAAATGTTGGACTTGATAAGAATTAAGAACGTTTGCTCTTTGAAAGATTCTTAAGTGAATGAAAAGATGAGCCACAAACTCGAGGAAAATATTTACAAAGATATAGCTGAAAAAGGGATTGTATCCAGCATATATGAAGAATTCTCAAAACTCAATAAAAGAAAACCTGTAAAAAATGGGCAAAAGCTTTCAACAGGCTTGTCACCAAAGACACACCAAAGATGTGGAAGACAAATATAAATATGTAAATAGTCAATAGGAAGATACAAATTAAAACTACAATGAGATATCACTGCACACAAGACTGACCATACCAAGCACTGGCAAGAACGTGGAGGAACTGGTGGTAGGAATGTAAAATATTAAAATCATCTTCGAAAAAAGTTAGACACCTATGATGAGACCCAACCATCCCACTCCTAGGTATTTACCAAAGAAATGAAAGCACATGTCCATACACTTAATTGTATACAAATGTTTATAGCAGCTGATTGGTAATAGCCAAAATTTGGAAATAACCTAAATTTCTCTCAACAGGTGGATTGATAACAAATTGTCATACACTAAGTCCTCATTTAACGCCATCAATAAATTCTGTGACTTTAAGTGAAACAACGTATAATGAAGTCAGTTTACCAGATACTGCATCCCAACATTATAAGGAAACGACATTGAATTAAATGACATTACTCGAGTACCTGCTGTATATCCAACCACACCATGGAATACTACTCGGAGTAAAAAGGAATGAACTATTGATACATGCTACAACATGAATCTCAAAATAATTATGCTGAGTGAAAAAAGCCAGATAAAAAGGTCACATACAGCATGATTCCACTTATATAAAAATCTAAGAAATGCCAACTAGTACATAGTAACCACAGATCAGTGGTTGCCTGGGAAGGTGTAAAGGGAAAAACAATGAACAGACAAAAGAAAAATTTGAGAGTGAGGACTCTGTTCATCATTTTGATTGTATCTGATTAGAGATCAATAAAGCTATTTTAGAGATTTTTAAAAAAGACAATGCAAGGTAAGGGCAGCACGATGTTTAAGCCATACAGAAAAAATGTTGAATATTGTTCATGTATTCATAAATATGTATGTAAAACATGTTCTAAAGAATGCAAAGGATGTGGACAGTAGGTTATGCCTTTGGGCAAAAGGGGGAGAGACCGAGATGGTTACAAGAGACACTAGCTTGTGTTTTATTGCCTTAAAACAGAGACCCCCCCCAGGGAAGAGGTCAGTCACTGGTTGGGACCCCTTTGGGGTCCTGGTGGAGGATGCAATACCCTTCTTGGAGGACACCTTTGCCCACACTTCTGCCACCCAGGAAATGATGGGGACTAAAGGTGAAGCTCGCGGGCACCAAGGGAGCCCAAGGAACAATCCCTTGGGTGTGTGGCACATGCAGCCCGATCTCATTTCATTTTCATAACTGTCCTTGGGGAACAAGTGACCTTTCCAAATGCAAGTCAGGCCCCATCCTCTCCTCCTTGGGCCACCCTCTCCCCACGCTCCCCATCACACTGAGTCTGAAATGCAAACACCTCGCCAACACCCTTCTGAGTGGCCTGACACCTCCTCCCTCTCCCTGCTCCAGCCACACGGGCCTCCTCACTGTGCCTCCAACACACTGGGCACCGTCCTGCCCCAGGGCCTTTGCGCGGGCTGTGCCCTATGCCTGGGCCATGGATCTGGACTTCCTCCTAGCTTAGTCCTTCTTGTCATTCTGATCTCACTCAAAAGCCCCCCTCAGGGAGCCATCACTGCCCTCCCCACCCCCACTATTTCTGTTGCCTGTCTTCCCCAGGGAACTGCAGGCCCCCAAGCGGCTGGGACAAGGTCTCTTGTTCTGAACATACAGCAGCAGGGCCAATATTGACTTCACAGTTGAGACATGATCAGTGGTGGCCTGGAGACCAGGAGGGCACAGGGAGGGGTTGCAACGGGGAGCAAGGAAACGTTCACCACCTCAGCGTGGCGCTTGCTTCACTGTGCACACAGGACACTGTGCGCCTGACACAGGCACCTCCCTGGCGTTCCTGCTGTCTGCAAAGGGCTGTCTAAAAACAAAAATACTCTAAAAATGCTGCATACCAGTCCTATCTTGAAAATGAGGTTGTACTTCCTTAGATTCTCATGCGACACATACACTGAAGTGGCATGAAAGCACACGAGCATGTTGATGGCAGCCATGTCTGCCAGCTGGGCTAGCGGCGGCTTTCATTTTCTTGGTTACAGTCAGTGGGACGTTTTGCGTAAATAGAGTAAACATGAGTCTGTATTAACGGGAGGTGACGGGCTTGGCCTTTCTTCTGAAGCGTGGGAAGTCTTACCCACGTCCAGGCTGAAGCCAAAGCCACTTTGCCAGCCTTGAGGGGGGGGGGAAGGCGGGGAGAGGAGACAGGTATGGCCCTCTTCCCATATGCAGAGTGACAGCACCCCATAAATCCAGAGTATCCCAGAGGCTGTGCCCAAGCCAGGATATCCCCAGAGCCTGATGGTGGTGGTAGGGAGGGCTTGCCAGTTGGAGGGGCCTCCACACAGCCTGGAGTGCCCCCACCCCTGCCCCTGTAATGGGTTGAATGGTATCCCCTCATATTCACATCCCCTGAGAACCTCAGAATGAAATATTATTTGAAACGTGGGTCTTCACAGATAGTACTAGCTGAGTTTGTACTGGAGTAGGGTGTGTCTAATCACTATCCTTGTTAGACACACACACACTCCACATGAAGGTGGAGGCAGACAAGAGCCACGCGTCCACAAGCCAGGAACAGACCCTCTTACAGCCTCAAGGAATCAGCCCTGACCACACCCCCAAGAGCCCCCAGAAACACACTTGAGGATGATTGTTCGATATGGCTTTATTTTCTGATCATCCGACTGCATCCCACAACCAGCCTGAGCTCTAAACAGTCAGCCACCCTGGGGAGGGAGGACAGTCGCTGGGCAACCCCAGATGGTGCGCCCATCACTGTCACAAGGGGAGGGATGAGCCCTCCGAGGTGGCCGGGCATTTGGGGAACGGTCTCTGGGGGGAGTCGGTCCACCAGGCAAGGTGGGGTGGAACGAGGCAGAACCTGTGACCCCAGCTGACCCCTCCATAGGCCTGGCTTAGCCAACATCCGGAGCCTGGAAGGCTAGACAGGACCGCCAGACAGGCTCATGCTCAGGGAGGAAAGAACTGGTTGGCAAAAGTGGGATGTCAGAGGTGGAGGCAGACATGAGTCCCCGGAGGAGCCCAGTCCCTCCTGCTGGCGGGCTTTGGGGACAGGGCAGCAACAGGCAGGGTGAGGGGTGGGCGGGCCAGTCCTCGGGCCCCCTTAGGCCATTTCAGACCTCCATGGAGCGCCTGGAGCCCCTTCTCCCCTGTCCTGACCCGCCCCTTAGCACTTAACACTTGATTGATTATATTGCTCATGAATCGGTACACCTGCACCTCCCTGAGGTCCACCCGGTGCTGGAGGCCTCCTCCCCTCCACGAGAGAAGCTCACGCCCCATGAGGCACCTGGTTTGTGGGGTGAGGGCTTGGTCAAGGCTCCTGTGAAGCCCACCTCCTCCCCCTCTGGTTCCCACAGTCGTATCTTCTCTGAAAAACGCTCTCCCTTGCTCCCCCGCCCTCCCCACATGGATGTTGCTTCCCCAGGACACATCCTCCTTTTCACAAATGAGAAGACAGGCCCGAGGAGATGTGCTAAGAAGTGAGTCAGCAGAGGGGCCAGTGGGCCTCCAGCCCAGGCCTCTTCTCCAGGGCCTCCCAAGGCACCCGTGTCCCCTTTGAGAGCCAGGGGTTGGAAGCCCAGGAGCCAACAGAGAAGACAGCCTAGGGGAGGTGCTGGATCTCCCCAGGGCACAGTGGGAGGGAGCTGAGGCTAGAGGCTGCGGTGAGGGGGTGACGCAGGGCTGGCCAGGAGGAGGCAGTGCGGGGGAAGGCCGCCAGGTCGCTGGGTCTTCAGGGCATCAGCTGTGGTTCAGGGGAGGCCTATCCCTCAGCCCTGGCCCGGGGAAGAGACACAACCTTCCAAGGGAGGAGCTACAACCTGGGGGCCCGCTTCAGACAAACACGAGGAGAGCATCCGAGTCACCAAGTGGGATGGAGACAGCCGGAGGACAGACGCACAGCCAGTGCCAGCCATGGTTGGCATCGCGAGCAGGAGTGACCCCAAGGCTGAGCCGGGTAACTTTCCTTTTGTAGCATAAGCTTAGCGCCCTGTGGGCTGCAAGGTCACCTCCTGGGCCAGAGGCTCAGCCAAGGCTCGTTCCCAAGTCCATGGCCTGGCCCCAGGGCTCCAATCACTGCTCCTCCACGGGAGTTTGAAGGACAGAAAAGAGAAAGAATCCCCCAAATCCTCAAGAGCAACACAGAAAAGCTCTGTAATTCGGGGTTTCGGCAAGCCCCTGCAGACTGCGGGTGGCGAGGGTGGCAGGCAGAGCCCGCGGTGCTGGCAGGGTCGTGTCATTGCGTCTTGGCCTTCAGGAGTAGTCTCTGAACTGTTTTGTACAGGAGGTCGAAGTGCTGGGGGCAGCGGGAGGGCGCAAGTGAGGTCATGAGTGAGGTCGGGGACAAACCCCAAGGAAGCCCCAGGGACCTGTGGAGTAACCTGCTTCTAGGCAGGACAGGGCCAAGGACTTGCTGGGCCAGTCCACCCCTCCCACCGGAGCCCCACGTGCTCACCTGGACCGCCGTGTAGGCCATGCCGAGGTAGGCGCCGATGCAGACTGCCAGGAGTAGGTCAAAAATGGCTGGCTTGACCCTGGAGAGAGGGGAGTCGGGGTCAGGGGAGGGTGCGGGACTCGCAGCAACCTGGCTGTCCTGTGGACCGCAGTCCCTTGGACGGCAACCAAGGGGGACACGGGCTCCTGGTCCAGAGCAGCTCACCTGTAGGCATTCATCACCTGCTTCAGCTGGTCGTAGAACACAAACTCGGGGTCCCTGGGAGAGAGTGCGTTCTCAGTGGCCTCGCCCCGACTGCTGGGCCAGGTCCTGTGGCCCCCGCAGACACCAGACCACCCGAAGGTCCCACCAGCCCAGCAACGTGGCAGGGAGCACGCCGTGTGTGTGTCTCCTTGAGGCTGCCACTGTCCCTCCTGGGAAAGAACTGTCCTTTATCCTGAAATCCCGTCTTTCCTATTGCTTTTTTGGTGTTAAAATGTTCTTTAAAAATGAAATATGGTGACTACAGAAACTGTACTGGTCTAGAAAGTACTTCTTTACCGGGTGGGTGACCATGGCCTGGGAATCAGAGACCCTGGCTCCACGGCTGTGGGTCCACCTGGGGTCTCGGGTTCATCTAAGTGCTGTCTCCTGAGAGGGCCACGAGCAGGGAGGAAGGCGAGGCCAACAAGGGCAGTAAATAGGCCGGGGGACACCTCCTGCCCGCGGACACCCACAGTGCCCCTCTACTACAGGCCCCAAGGGGCCCACTCAGCACAACTGGGGAGCTCAGGAGCCTTGAACAGAAAAAAGACAAAACTTGGGGGGCTCGCAGTGGGGAGAAGCACCCTAAGGGCACACAGGGACCCAGGTACAAGCCACCTGATACAGAGCACAAAAGGACTAGAGGGTGGGTGGGGGCTACAGAGCTGCCACATAAAACACCGGACATCAATTCTCTGTGGATTCAGATAAACGAATAGGCTTTTAGTGTATTTGGGATATACTTATACTAAAAAATAAATTGTTTGTCTAGAACTCAAATTTAACTGGCACCCTGTCCTTTTTTATTTATCTGCTTAAGCTGGCACTGCAGGAGGTGTAGAAGACTCTAGAAGAGCATGTTTACTGGCAAGCTACACCTTGCACAAGCCTGTGACCGGGTGGGGGCCATCTGCGCCTCACCGTTTGTCAGCCTTGATATGGTGCTGCTTCACCTCCTTCAGGTAGCGGCTCAGGTAGTGCTCCAGTGTGTTGAGGAATGTGCCATCTTTGTCCACCAACTGGGCAGCCCGGGGCTGGTTGGTGAGCCAGTCCATCACTGAGTCCAGCTGTTCCTGCTGGATCTGCTACAAAGGACAGGGCCACGGTCACGGGACCCCTGCCCACCCCTGCACCAGGACCCTGCCCACCCAGCCCAGTGGTTACCATCTGCTCTGTGAAGACAGGCATGTCCGGGGGGGTCCCCTGCAAAGAGAGGAAGGGACAGGCCTCAGTCCAGACCCACCAGGTGCATGGGGATGGAGGACCTGCGGCCACCGCGGGGGGCTCACCTTCTCCGTCAGGTTGTAGATGACTCGAGTCAGGGCCTCCGCGATGAGCCTTGTGTTGCGGGTCAGGGTTTTAGAGTCAACCCGGGACCTTCAAGGGCAGATGTGAAACAAATCTATATGTTTGGAATCAGCATTATTTATAATCACCAAAAAGCAAAGGCAATCACATATCAAATGACAGTGAAATTAGGAAAGTTCCAGCCTCCTCAGGCAAGGTAGGCACCGCTTTGCACCTCAGATTCGGCTTCTTTTTTTTATATCCTCACCCAAGGATATGTGCATTGATTTTAGAGAGAAAAGAGGAGTGGTGGGGAGAGAGAAAAACATCAGTGAGTTGCCTCCTGTATGCACCCTTACTGAGGATCAAACCCACAACCTAGGTATGTGCCTGGATTGGGGATCAAACCTGCAACCTTTGGGTGCGTAGGACGACATTCCAATCAACTAAGCCACCTGGCCCGGGCCACATTCCACTTTAAAATGGGGGACCCTGCCCTCCTCAAAAGGCTGTCCAGCACCCTCAGGGGTTATTTGCAGGTGCAGGGAAGCAGACCTGGCTCCTTGTGTCTGCCTGAAATGCCTGGATCCCTTGAGGCCTCAGTTTTCTCACCTGGATCATGGCATGGGGGTGGTGAGGGCACCTGTCTCCATGGTTTGTTGAGGGCAGAGTCAAGGTAACACCCAGTAGTAGAGTAAAATGTCCCCCCAAATTCACACCAACCTGAACCTGGAGGCGTGACCTAATTTGGAGGTAGGATCTTAGCAGACATTAGTTAGGATAAAGTCACACTAAAGTAGGGTGGCCCTGTGTCCAATGGCTGGTGTCCTTATAAGAGAAGAATTTATAACAACAGAGGCAGAGATTGGGGTGATGCAGCCCCAAGCCAAGGGACACCAAGGATTGCCAGCAACACAGACGCAAAAACAGGAACTTTGGAGGCAAAATGTCACTGATCCAAGAGGGTGTGAGATGCTGGGATCTCCCTGGGAGGGGCAAGTAGAGGGGTGGCCTGGCTCATTCCTCAGGCTGTTTCTCCTTCCCTCCAACTCTCCTTTGCTCTCAGCACCCTCTGTCCTGGAACACCCTTCTCCTGACTCAGGTCCCTTGGTTTCAGTGCCACCTCTTCCAAGAAGCCCTCCAGCCCCAGGACCAGCCAATGCTCCCGCTATGCCTATTCTCTCTCTCTGGGTCTTGCCTGTCCCAGGCTCGCTGGGCCCCTCCAACACCACCTTTGCATTCCCTGCCCCCTCGCTGACATGTGTCTGTTGCTGGGCCGTTGCCTATGAGGGCAGAGGCAGACTATCCGAGGACTGAGTTTGGCAGCTGACACCACCATAGAACCCTGGCCCCACTGAGAGCTGCCATGCCAGCAGGGGGAGCTAATGGGATGGAGCGAATAGTGAGGTTCTAAAATGACAGAAGCCAGAGACATCCATCATCACAGAGGGAGAGAAAGTGATTGGGAAGGCTCCCAAGGAGGCACAAGGGGCCAAGGAGACAGGGCACAGCCCTCCAGGCTGCAGCACAGCGTGAAAAGGTCTGGGGGCAGAAGCCGCAGGGTGAACTGAGGTGCTCAGGGTCTAAAAGTCACACACAGGGGTCAGGCCATTCACTGTGTCCTCCCTGTCCCCAGCACCCCTCTGCTGAGTTAGCACAGGTGACCCACCTTCCTGTTTCTTGAACTGCCAAGCTAGTGCCAGCCCCTCCCCCACCACCCACAGGCGTGGGTCCCTCCCCTCCAGGCACCTATGTTCATAGGACCCAGATGGCAGAGAGACGGCTATGAGGGAAAGTGGGAGGCCTCAGGGCCCCACTCACCGCACGTCCATAATGCTGCTGCGCTGGCCGTCACGGTGGCTCTCCAGGTGGGACAGGGTGAAGGCGGGCAGCCGGCGGATGGCGAAGCGTTCGTGCTCCCAGGCCAGGATGTCCTCTGCCAGGTTGATCTTCTTGTGCACCATTGAGAAGCGCACCTCTGGGAACTGGTGAGCAGCCACCTGCGTGGGCAGCACAGTCAGGGAGTCCACCCACTGCCCTGGGGTCCCGGCCACACCTCACCAAGTCTGCGGAGGGGCCCCTCACACCGAGCTCATTCCACAAGTTTCCACATAGGGCCCTGAGAGCCGGGAGGGTCCCAAGTCCCTCCCGGAACCTCTGGCATTTGGAAATAGGGAGAAATCTGCTTACCCCCCTAGGAAGCCAACTGAGGCTCACTCGAGGTCCCAGGGTTTACAAAGCACCTGGTCTGATGCCTGGCCAATGGTGAACACTAGCTAACGAGGGACAGGAGGGTAGATAACCCGGCCTGGCCTGAGTCCCTTGTGACATGCTGCCACCCTTCTCAGAGCCTCAGGGGCCTCTCTCTGAAATTCTGTCAAGCTGCCGCCCGGAAGGCTCCCTTGCTCCTGGGGCACCTACCATCTCCAGTTCCCGCAGGAAGGCGTGTTGTAGAGTCCCCTCCCTGGGTGGCTTAGACACATGCAGGTGGAGGCTGTTCCCCCGGCCCAGGGTGTCCAGGCAGAGGACGAAAGCCACATTGTCCTGGAGCAGGCTGGAATCTGTGGGAGCAGCAGGAGCTGACTGGGGTGGAGAGACACCAGGACCCCGGACCCCATGTCCTGTTACCAGCTGGGGGCCACTAACCTGTGTGGTCCAGGTTGTCTTCTAACCAGCGCTTGGTCCCCTGATAGTTAAACTTGCCCCCTCCTGAGGCGAAGAACAGGAGATTATACCTGGCGGGGAGAGCAGAGGTGTCAGCTTTGGTAAATGATCACTCAGGTCCTCAACAAGGAGGCGGTGGTCTCCCCAGACACAAAACCCTAACCAGCCCTCAGGGCAGGGCCTCCCCGCTGCTGACACCAGGCCCGGGTCCTCTCTATGGGGCCCGTCCTTGGCATGTGGAGCAGCATGGCTGACCCCCAACCACTTGATGCTAGGAGCGCCCCCAGCTGTGACAACCACAGATGCCCCAGACATGGTCCAGTATCCCCTAGGACAAAGTCACCTCTGAGAGGGTGAGAACCACTGCTGCAGACACTTCTCTTGAGCTTTCAAAACCAGGAGACAACCTGGTTTCAACTAACTAGGAAACAGACCCAGAAGATAAAAAGTGGAAGGGATTCAGCACCGCATCTTCCTGAGGCAGGCCTGGTCCAGGCCGTCACAAAGGACCACGTCCCAGGGCCTCCCTCATCTCCAACTCGCCCATCCCGCCAGGGCCACCGCAGCCCTTATGGGAGAGAAAAGACAGAAAAAGAGAGGACCAGGCAAGGATAAGCCAGAGACTGGAGCCACACAGCCACAGCCAAGGCACTCTGAGGACAGCAGGCAGCTCCCAGAAGCTGGAGAAAGCAGGAAGGACCCTGCCCCAGAGCCTTAACCTTAAGCATGGCCCTGTGGCACCTTGACCTCAGCCTTCTGGTGTCCAGAATTGGGAACATAAATGTCTGCTATTCAGCTACACTGTGTGCTGTGTGTGGATGAACAGAGAATCCAGCCCAGTGTCCACAGTGTCGAGGTAAGGAAACTCATTTAAGCAACTATTTTGTTTGAGTGTTTCTGTTACTTGCAGCTGAAAGCATCCATAACACTTGCTGGGACTAACAGCAGCCAGGCCTCCTGAGCAGGATGCCAGCAGGTGAATGGGAGAGACCCAGCCCCATTAGCAAGTGGCCTCACCAGCCCTCCATCCCTCCCACCTGGCCATCACTTACGCCGCATGGGTGCGCTTGTAGGTGTACAGCCTGGAGAAGAGGCGGGCGAGCTCCAGCAGCACGGAGATGCCACTCCCGTTGGAGTCCGCGCCATGTGACAGCCACTGTGGGCAGGCAGGGCAAGGCAGGCAGGCAGTCACCCCCACCAGTCACACGCAGCACCGCGATACCCCCCTCGTTGGTGGCCCACCCTGCTTGTCCCTGATCTTGTCCCTAGTCCACACTCAGCACACAGGGAGAGCTGCCTCCTCTGCTCAGAGCCCGACGGACAGCACCCTGATGTCCACATGGGGGAGCCCCTGGACACTGGAGGCCCTTCTGAGTCTCCTTGTTCACAGCAACTCTGTCCTGGGCCCCGGCAGGTAGCTGTGCCACCAGGGCAGCCTCTCAGCCTCAGCACGTACACATGGACCCTCACACCTATCACTGTGGGGGGAGTCAGCAGCACAGGTTCCCTCTGGCCAGGCCACCAGCCTTCTGCTCCTTGAAAGCCTCCCCCCTCCCCCCCATATCTGGGTTCTATGATCGAAAGCAGTACTGCAATGAAGGAATGACTACTTCTTGGAGAAAGAGAAGTTTCGGATGCCATAGTGTCTTGGGAACCTCCCAAGGTCACAGCCCATAAACCGACATACGTTGTATCAATGTAATAAAATTCGTGATGTTCAGCAAGAGGAGCCAGACACCAAAGGCCACATAATGTTTGATTCCATTTATGTGAAGTGCCCAGGCTGCTAATGGGGATGGCGGCTTCTTTTTGGGATGATGGAACGTTCTGGAATTAGATGGTCATACAGTCTTGTGACTATATTAAAAACCACTGAATTATATGCTTTAAAAGGGCAAATTTTGCCCTGGCTGGTGTGGCTCAGTGGATTGAGCACCAGCCTGCGAACCAAAGGGTTGCCAGTCTGATTCCCAGTCAGGGCACGTGCCTACGTTGCAGGCCAGGTCCCCAGTAGGGGACGCTCGAGAGGCAGCCACACATCGATGTTTCTCTCTCCTTATCCCTCCCTTCTCCTCTTTAAAAATAAATGAAATTTTTTTTTAATATATTTTAAGTTATGGGAATTATACTTCAAAAAATGTTTTAAATTACACAGGCAATGAAAAATTAGAATGTCTAAAAAGGAATAATGAACAAGTTCAGAAGTGTTGTTCTCAGCTGACTGTCCAGGGCCTGTCTCTGGGCCCCGGCTGCTCCCAGTGTTCCCAAGGATGGCCTTGGCCTTCCAAGTGGTGTGGCCTCTGGAACAGCTGTTACTGGGCTGTGGCACAGTCGGAGCTCGCACCAGGCTGCAGGTCCATCCACCCTCAGTACCCTGTTTGGTTTGGCTGGTTGTTCTCTCAAAGCGAGACTTTCTGACAAAGGAAGCCAATTTACACTTGGCATGAGCCACAATCTCAGTGCTGGGGGCTCTGAGAGCACGGCCCCACCGAGGCCTGCGGCCTGGGGGTGGGGCTAAGGGCGCCTCTGACTTCTATCCGCGTGGCATCTGGAACTGAGCCCTGGGGGCTCCCTGACCATAAACTGTCTGGAAAAGTGGTTCATCTCATCATGTGCATATGTTCTCCTGGAGTCTGGGATCCCATATGTGCCAGGCAGAGGGGTCCGCAGATAGGCCCTCAGTGAGAACCCTGGGCACTGGGACTCCATGAGGCCCCTGGGGACCACACCTCACACGCACTGTCACATCTTGTTGTGTGCGAATAAGTGAGTCCTATGGACTCTACCAGGAGAGAACTCTGGAAGCTTACACCAGGTTCCCGCCTTGACCTGCTCCATGTACTTTTCCTTTGGCTCATTTAGCTCTGCCCTATCTCTGTACAAAGCATGGCCATGAGGACGACCATCTGCTGAGTCTGGGGTCCTCCTGGTGAATTATCTTGGAGACCTTGACAGGCACCCTGGGCTCTATTCCTGGCCTGGCCACCTATTTGCAATGGGACCCTGGCCACAAGACCCACCCTGGCTTAGCCTCTGTCTCAGCTCTGCAATGCCACCCACTCTGCAGGGTCCCCATGGGGAGCTGATGTAATGCCTAAAGGGCCCTCTGAGTAGGTGTCGCTGCTCTGACTGCAGCTGCTGTCCACAGACAGCTGCTTCTGCCTCTGAGCTCGGCTAGAGCAGTGAGGGAGAAAAGGCGCCCACGTCCCCTCCTCCAAGGCGAGCGTATACGTACAGGGGCCACTCCAAAGGCATCGTAGTGAGCCACAATGACGATGGTGGGAAGGTCCTCTCCACCCAGGCCTGTCAGCCGCCCCTGTGAAAAGACAGTCTGTGAAGCACCAGCTGGCCGAGGCCCTGATCACGAGAACAGTCCAGGCTACCCCCACCCAGTGGGAGTGGGGTGGGGGCAGTATTTTTAGCTTTGCTGGCTCTATGGTATGTCATGACTAGTCAGTCGTGGGTGATAAGTGAACAAATGGACATGGCTGGGTACCAATAAAACTTTATTTACAGAAACACGCTAGGGGCCAAGGGCTGCAGTTTGCTGACCACGGCTCTGGCGACGAGAATCTGCTCACTCCTCACAGCATGCTTCTCCCCCGGAAACCATGCCCACCCCTCAAAGGCTGAGCTACATGCCACTGGTTCGGAGTGCAGAGTTCTGCTGATGAGAACAGTGCAGTTGGGAATGGAGCCTCTAGAGCCCCAAGGAGTTAGGGTCTCAGCACTAGTTGGGGACAGTGGGAGGGAGTCCAAGCACCTCGACTCTCTCCCTGACCTCCTCCCTGACCCTGCTTCCCAGGTGAGTAACAGGGATGGCAGAGGACTCATGGCAGCACAGACATTTCCAGAACCAAAGGCCATGGCAGCCAGGTTGGCAGTTTGCAAGAGAGTCCCTAATGGTACGAAGGGCCCACCAGACCCTCAGTGGATCATCTGCTGTGACCCCCTTGGGAAACCAGACCAGTCGCAGCTCAACTCAACCTCTGCAGGTCTGATAAGGTCTCTGGCCAGTGCAGGTTTTCTCTGCCCAAATCACCACCATCTCTTATGCAGTTTTAAAAAACATATTCATCTGATTATTTTATCAATTGCTCAGAGGCTGTAGCAGCTTCCGCTCATCCTCAGTTAGCCTGTCCAGCCCTGTCAGCTGCTGCACCTTCTCCTCCCTGGTCTCCAGCCTGGTCCACTGAGAGCCCCAGTCCTATCCTCACTGCCATTTCACTTGGCTCCAGGACCCTCAGCTTACGTGTCCCTAAGTGCCTCCCACGACGTACAGAAGAAATTCTAGGGAGGGATGACGTCTTGCTCACCACTGCCTCCTGCATACAGCAGGGGCTCAAGAATTTTTCCCAGAAAGGCACGGGATTCACGACTGACTGTGTCTCAAACAGCCCTGAGGTAGGCTCACTTCGTCCTGAACGGGGAGGGGTGGCTGACAATGTGGCTGCACCCCAACTTTTACCAGAGACCACACACTGACATGGGGGGCAGTGCCAAGCAGGCTTGCACCATCTGGTGTAAACCCCTGGAGACTGGGGCCCACAGAAGTCCCCCCTAATACCGAAGGCAGTGCCCAGTCCAAGCCCAGGTCTAAGGAGGGTGGCACACCCAGCCACAAGCGCTCACCGATGGCCCACTGGGCATTGGGCGCCAGGGCAGGCTCTGAGGGTGAGACAGCGGTCTCAGCGCAGGCCTGTCCCTGGGTTTTGGCACAGCAACAGAGCTGGCACTCACCTCCACACTGGTGATGAGCCAGTCACTCACAGCCTTGCTCTGGACCCCGCTGGTGACCATCTGGAAGCCGTTGGCGGTGGCAGTGTGGAGCAGCACTGGGGACAGGAGCAGGGAGGGGTCAGCCCCAGGGTTCCCCAGCACACCAACACCCCGGACCCTTGGTGCTCAGTCTGCAAAGCCATATGCAGAACTGACCACACAAACTAGAACACAAGGTGAGGACTGGATACAGCAAAGGGCTTGGGTGTCCAGGGTTAAGGGCTGGGGAAAGTCACCCCGACCCCAGGTAGGCGGGGGGTGCCCTTGCTCTGCAGGACCCTTAGGCCTCCATTCCAAATTTACAGAGGCATGTGCACACCCTCTGACCCAGCCTCCCAAGGACTGACTCAGCATCCACGCCACAGTCACCCTAGAGGTAACGGAGAAGCAGGCGTCTCCCGCTGGATGGCCCACGATCCAAGAGCCCCGTGCAAAAGGCCTAAACTGCCTGAGCCCCCAAAGGTTTGTAACCCACTTGCTCATGACCAGAAACAACTACCTTTTCATTTTGTGTCACACACTAGAAACAGCCATGAGTTCCCCATCTCGAGTCTGCTTCTGCTATTTACATATTTAAAAATATAATTTTAATGGGTATGTAAGATATTATCACTGGAGAAGGCTGGGAGAAAAGTGCCCTCAGGAACTGTAATATTTTTTCAACTTCTTCTAAGTTTTAATGTATTTCTAAGAAAGACAGTTGTGATCAATATGTATTATTTTTGTATCCTGTTTTTTCCACTTACCAATGTAAAATAAGCATTCTCCTGTGCTGCTAAAATTCTACCCCGATGTCATTTTTAATGACTGCATAATGTTCCACCAAGTAGAGGATTCTTCCTCTTATTTCTCTAACTGGGAATTTAGGTCTTTCCAAAAATTCATTCTTCTGCTCCCACAACACAGATGAATGTTGTCAAGACTTTGATCTAGACCAGAAGTTGACAAACTTTTTCTGTAAAGGGCCAGAGACAATATTTTCTGCTCTGTTCTGCCACAGGCACTCAACTGTGCTGCGATAGTGTGAAAGCCACCATAAACAATATGTAAACAAATGGACACGGCCAAGGGACAATAAAACTTTACTTACAGACAGCTGAGGGCTGTAGTTTGCCAACCCCCAATCTAGCATCCTATGCAGCCAACCAGCTGGCCAGGAGGATCAAATCTTTGTCTACGGCTTAAACACATAGCGCACACTATTTCCCCAAGGAGCTGACTGAGCCTCCCAATGTGGACAAACCCACCTGCCTCTCCATTCCTGTCAATTCGGAGTATTTTTTACTGTTTCACCTGCCATTTCAGTAGGTGAAAACAGAGCACTGGGTGGTTCCTTTTGGTGGCATTTCTTTGACTCATTTTGCTATCTCACTCCCGACAGCAACCCACTCATGCTCCCCGTTCACCACAGCATCCCCAGTCCCTGGTGGGAGAAAAGGGGTTTTCTGCTGCCCCAGAGACCAGAGGACGCTGCTGACCAACCCTGAAGTACTCAGCAGGCAGGACCGACAGAGAAAACTGACTAGATGCTGTGTTTTTCATAAACATCCAGAGGCTTAAAGACAGGAAACACCTCCCTCCAAATTAAGTGGCTCTCAAGCTTTTGTTTGCATGAAAATCAGCAGTGGGGTGAGGTGGGGGGTATCAAATGGGGAGTCCTGGCTCCCAGCCCCAAGACTGTGACACAGCAGGTTTGGTGCAGGGCCTGGTAACCTGCACTGTTAAGTATGGGTGGTGTGTTAAGGGTCTCAAAAGTGGCACAGCGTGACGTGGCCCTCAACAGGGAAGGCTCCCCATGAACCCACCCTGCTCCTGCAGCCGCCAGCCCACCTTCAGCGGCAGAGGCAGAACCCTGGGAGGCGGAGGCGGCCTGAGTCTGCTCGTAGATGGAGAGCAGGGCTTCGTCTTCTACAGCAAAGTACACGGGAACAATGGTCTCCATGGCCAGCATCTCAGGCTCAATCTCCATGAATTGCTGTAGAAGAGACACTCATTTAGACTTATGGCCTGGGCGGAGGGGACTGGGGGGCCCAATGGCTGTCCCTAGAGGGCAGGTAGGCCAGTGCCTGAAAGAACGCCTCCTCCGAGGCAGCTAATGGGGCTAGGACTATGCAAGAGAAAAGGAAGGGGCAGGAGGGGGACCAGGGTGTACGAAGAAGACAGAGGGACAGGTGAGGTGTGGCGATGCCCGGGGCCCGTGGATGGCACCCAGCAGGGAGGAAGTGGGCTGACAGAACAGGTGTTAGAGCCAGCCAGGCAGGGTCAGGCTTGGCGTTACTGTGGGCCCACCCTGCCCTTACTGGCCACGTCCTCAGCTCTAAGAGGGCAACAGGTGCTGGCTTCCCAAGCTGGTGGCATGGACCCACATAGACAGTGGGCATGAACTGCCTGCCTGGCACAGAGCTGGCTTTCAGAGAGCATGGGCTCCCCCACCCCACGCAACCCCCACTGCTCTATACCCCCTTCTCATCTACAAAAGCATCTTTAGCACAGAATTTGGAGGGATCCTATGAGACCCTGTTCATCCAGAACAGATCTTTGCCCCTTGGCACTGCTGACATCGGAGCCAGGTCACCCTCTGTGGGACCTGTCCTGGAGACTGTGGGGTGCTGATCGACATCCCTGGCCCCACCCACTTGATGCCAAGAGCACTTCAAGTTGCGACAACCACAGATGTCCCCAGACATCACCCAGTGTCCCCTGCAGAGTCACTGCAGGGGGACAGGGACCAATGGTGAAGGAGAATAGGCACCATCTGCTTCCTGAAGGGCAAGGGCTCAGGGAGGCAAAACAGACTTGCCACATAGCTGACTCCAAACCTAGGCATTCCTTTCTCCACAGAAGCTTCTGGACCCTGGACTGTGCAGAAGGTAGGGGGCAGGGGCTCACCCGGATGACGTCCTGGGGCACAGCGGCCATGGCCCGTGGCAGGATGATGACCACAGCGCCCGCCGACTGCCGCAGGGCCTTCTGGTACTGCTCATAGGAGAAGTCTAGCAGCCTCATGAGCACACAGCGGCGGCTTAGCACGTCCGCGTCGATGGTGCGTGCCTCCGTGTTGAGCACTGCGTTCCGTGTCCCTGTGGGATGGACACAGAAGGGGAACCACCACTTCAGCAGGGTCCAAGACCTCTGTCCAGAGACCAGTGACTCAGGAGCCTCCAGAGTCCCATCAGCCCTCTGCCCACACGCCCCAACATGTGTCTGCCATGGCCAGCACCCGACTGACACGAATGCAGTGCCCACTTGAACCCTGGAGAGCTGCAGCACCTTTTGAGACCTGAATGAAAGCTGAGACCCTTCCCCCTGGACAAACCCAGAGGTCTGTCCTCCCCAGGCTCCCAGAACCCTGAGGCAAACCTTAACTCCAGGCCCTGCTGACCTGAGCCTGGTGGCCCCTCCTGCCGGGTGCCCCTTCCCCTCCAGGGCTCTAACGTTGCCTTGGTCAATTCCCTGGGGCCTCAGCACCACCTAGAATATTTATGGCTATTTATTCCTCTAATTAGACTGGGGTTCTGGGGGCAGAGACCTTGTTCACTGCAGTGTAAAACTAGCACTCACAGCCACTCCTGGCCCAACAGGTTCTTGATGAACACCAGCCAGGAGAACAAATAAACAAACACTAAGCTCCCCAGTGACATTCAGAAAGCTCCAGACAGGCCAGGGTCAGGTCATTCCTTGTGAGGGGGTGTTCTGGGAACTGTCAGGGGTTAAGCAGCATCCCTGGCCCACATCCACTCAATACCAGGAGCACTTCCAATTGTGACAAACACAGATGTCCCTAGACAATAATGACCTAGGTCCCTAGACATCGCCAAGAGTCTGCTGGGGGAAGTCACCCCAGGTAGAAACTTCTCCCTGCTCTACACACCCAAGTGCCACCTTCCACCTTTCTTTTAAGAGCTCGAGAAAGATCCAAAGGCTCAGAGCAGGAAGAATAGCCTGAGTCCCAGGACAGGCATGGACCCGGCCACTCACAAGCTTCCCCCAGGCAAGTGAATCCCCCCACCCCCACCTAACCAACAGAGCTAGGGTCAGAACCAGAATGTTGCAGAGAGCTTTTCTAAGGCCAGCAGGGTCCCCTGGAGCACACAGCATGTTACTGCTGCCCTGAGAGAGTTATGCTGGAGAAAGGGGTCCTGGAGAAGCCCTGCTGAGGTTAAATGCAGGACCATGAGGCCAATGCAATGGCACAGGCAAGCAAGGAGTCCAGAGCATTTCCCACACTGCAGGCTGACCCAGGCCGAAGCAGGCAAGCAAATCCTAACCACATGAGGACTAGATGGGGCTCACAGGGCCTCCAGTTTGAGACCTAGGCAGTGAGCACAGAGAAGGACACATAGAAGTGATCTGGCTTCCCCAGGGGAGCCAGCCTCAGGTCGTCCCGGAGGCAGAAGCTCAGGGAAGGCACCATGTTTGTACTAATAGAAGCAGACCTACGCTGGGCTACACTAAGTCTCAGGCTCAGGGCCAGGAGCCTAGATCCCTGCTTCTGCTTTCCAGGAATGATCTCTCTGAGAAAGTGAGCAGACAGGAGAAAAGCTGCTTCCAGTGGAGTGCCCTCAGTGGACGGTGGGGAGAGGAGGCTGGAAGGACACAGCAGGGATGGCATCCCAGGTGGGAACAGGGGGAGGCCATCTCTGGGGCAGGCGGTCCGTGACCGAGGAGTAAAAGTGGGCCACATGCCCTGGGCTAGGGGGCACCCTGACTCCACCCGCAATCCTCTAAGGAACTTTTCTCCGCTTTAGGCAGGGAGAGGGTGACAAAGACCTTCAGGACGTCCTTGAAGGTCTTGGAATGCCTGAAAGGCCCCTCCTCCATGCCCTACCTGTTTCAGGCCCTCAGTTTCCCAGGGGCCCACAGCCTCCAATGTCACCTCAGGGGTGAAAACACGGAGGGCAGCCTGTGAAGCCAACTGTGTGCATCTTCCCCCTGGGCCTGGTGCTCCTGCAGGGCAGGAATCAGGACCCCAATTTCCAGAGAAGGTAAGCAAGGCCAGAGAAGGAGAGGAATAAGAGCAAAGCCAGGGACTGGCCCCCAGCCTCTGAGCACCCCAAGGGCAGAGACCATCTTTGCTGATGTGACTCCCAGGCCCCTGCTCTACACCAGCAGAGATCCAGGCTTGGTGGACAGCACCAGACACCTAGACAAAAGTCGTCGGTTCCCACACTGGGACCAGATATGAGTGAAGCCTGCAATCTTCTCTATCGAGGGCCAAATGATCAATCCTCTGGCCTGACTGGGCCACACCAGCCCTGTCATGGCTACTTAGTTCTGGTGTCAGAGACACATCAACTAGTAGGTGTGGCTCGGTGCCAATAAAACTTTACTTACAACAATGGCAGAAGGGCCACCCCAGGTGAAGAAGCCCTGGCAAGTCTGGGATGCTAACAGCCCCCCCCCCCCCGCCCCGGGCCTTGCTGAGCCTATGGTATCAAGGCTGAGAGGGGCGTGAGTGGGCTGCTAACCACCGCATGCGAGCACACAGCAGGTGCTGTTGAAGCAGCAGTCACCTCAAGAAGGCCAGAGTCCACATCTGTGGCCCTGTACCTGGTATATTTCCTCCAGCACAATTTACAGCACAGCACAAAGAGCACACACCTTTCCTTCCTGGGCAGCTGCCCAGCCCTGTTTCTCAACAGGAGCGAACAGGAAGTTGGGAAACGAGAGGCCCAGAGCCAGAATTGCACCAGAGGCGGGGAGCCTGGGGCGTGGGCTCTAGAGGAGGGTGTAAAAGACACAGGGGAGACTGCAATCAGCAGTGACCCAGCAGACCAGCTCTCAAAGGCACCACTGACAGGGAGCAACCAGAGGCTTCTTCCAGCCACACCAGTTCTTTCTGATGTCAGAGAACAAGCAGCAATGCCTCAGACCCCCGAGGGTCCTTCCCTCCAATAACCAACTCCCGCTCCACAGCACCAACTATCCCATCAGCTTCTCCCCGGGCAGCAAGGGTCCGCCCCACATCTGGGCAAGGGACATTGCTAGGTGTGACCCGTGTGGATATGCAAGCCCTACTTGCAGGGCCTCATCAAAATTTCTCAAGCCAGGCCTCTGTCTCCCAGCTCTGCAGACAAGAAGCGCTCAGCTAAGATGGGTGGGTGCCTCACCGGGTCTCCTCTGATTACCCCCCAGAACCCACAGTCTCTATGATGCCTCATGTAGGGCAGGCAGTGCTTAGGTTCCTAACTAGGAGCAACACAGATGGGGGGCCAGGAAGGAGGGCACGTGAAGGGGGGAGATCAAGTCAGAAAAAAGAATGGGAAGGAATCCCAGGATCAGGAGCAAAGCGCTCAGAGAAGGGAGGGAAAAGGAAAAGAAAGCTTAGGGAAAGGAGAGGAGAGGTCACAGAGAGAGAGGATTCCCAAGAATCTGCAATGGAGGGAGATGGAGAACATGCTTCTGCATTTAGAAAGGCAGTGATTTGACACCTGTTTCCTCCACAAATTCAGCCAGCATTTCCTGGGCAGGCTTGGAAGGAAGAGAGGAGGCCACATCAGGTGCAGGACAGTGTCGAGAGGTCCAGAGGAGGCCAGGGGCATCCAGGCTACAGATTACAACTCTCAAAGGGGCCAGAGGGAGAAGTTGGGTGCGCTGGTAGGAACAGGACAGGAGGCTCTTAGCAAGGCTTCTGAGTGTGAGTCGTCTGAGTTGGAACCAAATGACAGGGGTGAATGCAGGAACTGAGACTCAGGATCTGGAAAAATTGGTTATACTAAGTTTTAGGATCTGGGCCTCTTGGACTATGGATTCCTTTGGGAAACTAAGAAAAACTCTAGACCAGGATGGCAGCTACCAGTCACATGTGACTATTTGACTTCATAACAATTAAATAATACAAAAAATTCCCTTCATCTGTGGCATGAGCCACATCTCAAGTGCTCAGTGTCCACCTATGGCTGATGGCTTCCATATTAGTGAAAATATAAAACCCACTGACAGTCACAGAAAGTTCCCTTGCACAGCACTGACCCTTCCCCCAGGAAAATGTCAACGCACAGAAACATGCCCACAACATTAAGGGCTCCTGGATCCCCACCCCAACCCCTCCAGAGCCTGAGGCTTTGGGTTCAGAACCATCACTGTAACACCAAATTTCTCCCCTAAGCACTGGGGCCAGATCACTGGGGCAGGATCCTTCTGTGAGGGGCTGTCCTGGGCGCTGCGAGGTGATGAGCAGCACCCCTGGCTCCCACCCGCTAGAAGCCACTAGGAGCACCCTAAATGTGACGATCACAAAGTCATCACCCAGTCACCCCTGGGTTGACAACCACTGCTCTGAATAGAAACAACGTAACTTTGTGGAGAGGCAGGATCTCAGGGGAAGTCTGGATAAGTCTCCAGAGTCTGAGGCTCTTCAAAGGGCTGGCAGGGGCTTGGGAATCGGGGTCTCAGGTTGGGCCTGAGATGGCCTAACAGGAGAGGGCAGTCTAAGAGAACTGAGGCAGACCCTTCAGAGATGAAGGGACCAGGAGAACTGGAGAGGGGGGCTCCTATATAAGGAAGTCAGGCTTTGAGTTGAGGGGAATCTAGGCACCAGGCTGGAAGAGAAACCTACAGGCCAACAGATCCAAAGGAATTTAAGATGACTTGGGCACGGGGGTCAGAACCACCACAGGCAGGTGAAGAAGCAGGAGTAGGGAGAAAGGAGCTACGCAGGATCCAGGCCCAGGAGTCAGAGACAATACAGAAATCCTGGGGAGAGGGAGCAAGCGGGGCTCCAGGACACTGGGTATAAGGAAGGGGAGCTGGGAGGGGTAGGCAACAAAGAAGAGGACAAGACATGAGTCCAATGAATCCTCAGAAAGCTAAAGGCAAGGGGAAGTCTGGCTAGGGAATTTTGAGGGATCTGGCTCAAGAGCTGGGACCAAGGAGAGCCGAGAGCCTGGAGAGAGATGGGTCCTGACATAGGGCCAGGCCTCAGTTAGCAATCTGTGCTCTGGAGCCCTGAGGTGAACAGAATGTGGACACCGCACAAAAAGCATCACAGTACCCAGGGGCCGTGGAGAGCAGGGGCTGGTTGGAACATCACATTGGGCAACTCACCTGGCAGACCCCAAGCAGGAAGGCTCACCTCCAAATCAACCAGGCCAGAGACTGAAGCTCTGGGTGTAGAGTACGACCCAATGAGGACAGGCACCAGGGTGGTGTCCCAAGGAGGGGGACTGGGCAACACGACTCTGGCCCAGCTGGGAACGGAAGAGGGTACCCCAGGGGTACAGGAGTAGGGGAAGCTTGGCCTGAGAGTTGGAGCTATGTGCTCTGGGACATGAAGCCCTTGTCTAGGACGGAAGGATGCGGGAGCCAGTGCGGCGGGGAGGGGGTCAGTTCCTGGGGGCACTAAGCATATAGTTGGGGACCGCCTAGCGGAGGTCCAGGCATCCAGGCTCTGACATGCCTCGGTATGGGTGAGGGTCTGGCCACTGGACTCCAGCTGGACAGCCCGGAGTGGCGGGTCCTAGGGAAGGAGGGGCAGAGACCCGCTTGAGGGAAGGGGACACCTCGGCTCGGGGAGGCTGGGCCCGGAGTAGGCCGAGAGGAGGCCGGTTGGGCCAGGGGCCGAGGGGTGAAATGGGGGGCTGAAGGAGGCGGGGGCCAGGGAGAGGCCCGGGGGGAGGCCGGGGTCCACGCACCGTATGGTTGCCCCTGTAGGTCGTACTGCTGCATGCGGTAGACTGTGAACTCGTGCGCCGCATCTGCAGCGGGCAGCGGCGGCGCCACCAGCAGCAACACGGCGGGCAGGAAAACGATGAAGCCAAGTGGCAGGCACGACGCCTTCAGCATGTTCTCCAGCACCTCGCCAGCTTCTTCCAGCATCCTGACAGGCGGGGGAGCCGCGCGGGGCGGCGGCGGGGACGGGACGGGGACGCGGACAGCGGCAGCAGCGACTGTTGCGGACTCACCTCAGCATGGGTAGCCGCTGGGGTCCTGCGATCAGTGCGCCGGGCAGCCCCCAGGTCCTACAGGCATTGCTGCGGGCCGCCCCATTCGCCGCGCTGCCCTCTGGGAGGTGTAGTTTTCACGGCGCGCGGTGCCACCTAGCAGTTGTCCACTCGATTACTTCCCAGTGTAAGCAGCAGTCAGTTGTTCGACTAAAACTGCTCAGGTGTCACATAAACTCCACGTCAGAAAATACAGATACTTAAAATAGAACTATTCACACTGGAACTTACTCAAACCCTGTCCTTGTGGGAGGAGAGGGAAGCGACTGCGGAAGTAGAACTTGACCTTGCGACCGGGCAAATTGTTGGGAGCGAAGGGAGAGGCCTGTTTGGTGCGCTGGGTCTCCTGGGAACTGTAGTCCCATTGAGCAAGGACAGGAAATTATGGGAGCTGTAGTCTTCCTGGCAGAACTCCGAGAAAAATCACTTAAGACTTCCAAGGAACGTAAACGTTAAATTCCATGAGGGCAAAGACTTTGGTCTGTTTTGTGCATTGATGTATCCCCGGAACCTAACACAAGGCCTGGCACACAGTCGGTGACCTATACAATCTTGGGATGTAGAAATCATTATAGAAGGCTCCTAAAAGGATGACACAATACATCATGGGACTTGTAGTCTGGAGCCTGGAGTTCATGCAGGGGTTGGTGACATGCTTATTCATTCTGAAGTACTACTCATAGTGAAAAATTATTTATTATTCATCAGAAATTGAAATTTAACTGGTGTCCCGAATCTGTATTTTCTGACCTGGACACCCTAAGCACCCCCTGTCTCGGGGCCAGAGATGTTTGATGAGCATGAATAACACACCCCCTTGTACAGATGGGAGGACTAAGATCACAACCACGGCAAAGAATACAACAGCCCTGACTCACAGCTATTTGACATCCCAGGCTCCAATATTGCAGCATTTGTGCTGATTAACAGCACTGGGTTCAAGTCCCACCTGCTCTGCTTCCCAGATGTGTAACCTTGGGCAAGTCACTTCACCTGTCCCAGCTTCGGTTTCCTTAGCTGCCAGATACGATAAATAGCCAAACACTCTATGACTCCCCCCAGCGGTGTGTAAGAATTCAATCAGATAATCCACATGAACTAACTCCAAAAGAGGAAGGCACACATAAAGCTATCAGTAAATGTCGATATTATGAGAATGCACTCACTTGTGTAGCCGCAGGACTACTGCATCTGCTTGCCTGCAGGACACCCTCCCCCGTTTTCCTTCATTTTTACTGAAATGTTGTTGGGCATTTCATAGCTCAATGTTTGCCACCCTTACCAAAGTAGGATCTTTGTGAGGGCAGAAACCAGGTTGTTTATAGCTGGAACCTCAGTGCCCAGAAGAGAGCCTAACACAGTGGTTGAGTGAATTAATAAGTGAGTGAATGAACTAATGAGTAGTGAAAACTCTAACACACCAGGCACCTTTCCTAGCCATTCTTCTTACTCCTCTGCTTCCAGCCATGCCCCAGGCCTCTCCAGGGAGATCCTAGGCCCGAGGAGTCTGGCATGCCCTGTCAGGGCGGGGAAAGAGACAAGAAGTCATCCTGGCCCACACGGTCTTCATCAGCAAAGGTTTATTACCTGCGTCTTCCATCCGCCTCCCATTCCCCCAGTTCAGGCTATGAACACACAAGATACACACACATATACCCAGAGACAGGCCAAGATAAGGGCCTGAACGTGGCTCAGACAATGAGGTTTGAACCTAGAGCTGCCCATGCTGCCTCCGCTCCTGAGCCTTGGTTTTTCTGTCTAAAATATGGAGGGTCAACTAATCCTGCCCTGTGGAGACAAAATCACGGGCAGCCAAAGAATGATGTGTAACATCTGTTCTGAGTTTTCTGAGGAGAAAAGGAACTGATATTCATTCATTCATTCATTTGTTCAATCATTGAAGAGGCAGTAACACACAGGGATCAAGAAGCCACCTGCCTGGGTTTGAATCCCAGCTCTGCTGCTACCCAGCTGTGTGACCTTGAGTAAGTTACCTAACATCTCTGGGCCTCAGTTTCTCATCTATAAAATGGAGTTAATGGAGTGGTTTTGTAAGGATTAAATGAATTAATATAAAGGTGATTACACACTAGGCTCTGAATGATATATAAGGCATTGTTGTTGTTATTACTCATTTACAAGTATACACATAATAGTTCATGGGTCTTTTTATGCTTCGAGTTATCAACATCCCAGGAGGGCAAGGGCTATCAGTGTCCTCATCTGACAGATGAAGAAGTTTAGGTCCATGGCATTCAGCAGAGCTGAGGAATGGTTATGGGTTACCGACATCTGAGCCATCTAACAAGCGAGAGACACGGATTCTTGGGAACGATTTTGCCACTGTCAGGGAGCGGGGCTGGGGAAGGAAAGGAGGAGGAGGAAGAGGTTCCCGAGGCTCAGCAGAAGGCGTACTACTGACTCCAGTGCTTCCAAAGCTCCTGGTCACTGAGTACCTACTGTATGCTGAGCTCTGTGCCAATTGCCAGGGACATAGTGGTGACCCAGACACTACCACAATCTCCATCATCCCAGAGCTCACAGTCCAGGGGAGGATATGGATACATGACCAGGGGTGATCAGAGCTGCAGTGGGACTCACAAGGAGTTGTGGGAATCCAGAGGAGGACTGGGAAGGGGGAGAAGTCAGAGGAGAATTCCTGGAGGAGGGGATGCTAAAGCTAAAACCCCAAAAATGTACAGGGCAGATGGGGCAACTAAGCCAGCTCAACACAGGCTCAGAGTCTGAGAGCTTTGGGGGTGGTCCAAACTCCACTCTCCTCAAATATCACCAAGCCCCCACCCTGCCTACTGCCGCCCCAGATAAACACATCTGAAACAGGCATCAGGAAAATGTAAGAATCATTCCAGTTTATTGTGCACCCAGATACATGCCAGGAACTCTTTCCAGCTGTGTCCAACAGAACTTCCTGTGATGATGAAAACATTCTGCCTCTACAATATCCAAAACAGTTGCCATGAGCCACACATCACTACTGAGTACTTAAAATGTGGTAGCATGACTGCCATAGGTTAAATTTATATGTTGAAGTCCTAACCCCCAGGACCCCTGAATGTGACCATATTTGGAAAATAGGGTCATCGTATTAGCACACACACAGGGAGAATGCTGTGTGAATGTGAAGGCAGAGATGTGATGATGCGTCTACAAGCCAAGGGACACCAAAGATTGCCAGCTAACACCGGAATCCGTCATGGCCCCAGAAGGTACCAGCTGTGCGGGCAGCTTGACCTCAGACTTCCAGCCTCCAGAACCAGAAGAGAACGGATTTCTGCTCTTTAAGCCCTCTAGTCTATGGGACTTGGATATGGCAGCTCCAGCAAACCAGTACACCGAGAAACTGAATTTTTAAATCTCATTTCATTTTAGCTAATGATAAATAGCTGCACGTGGCTAGTGGCTGCTATATTGGACAGTGCAATAAATGGTTTTCAGTCACTGCACCCCCTCCCATTGTGCAGAGGAAAAACTGAGATAGGGGCTGCCCTGAGGACTTGGAAAGACAGATACAGGAAGACCCACAGGCACTGGCTCGGTCCTGGGAGGGCAAAGAAAGAGAAAACCCTTTCCAGCCAAAGGTAGCCACGTATGGAGGATGTGCACCTGCACTGTCCAATATGGCTGCCCCAAGTCCCATGGGCTGTTTAAATGCAAATTAATTTAAAGTTCAGTTCTTCGGTTGCACCGACCACTTACTGAGTGCTCAATAGCCACGTGGGGCTCCTGTACTGGCGAACACAGATGGGGAACCTTTCACTATTGCCTGACGTTTTATCAGACACATAGATACCACTTACTGTGGCAAACCCTGAGCATGCAACAAGCCTCATGCTGTGGGTTCTGCTTGTTATCAGCCCACTTTAGACAGGGAAGGAGAGGACAAGGACGAGGCTGTGAGTGCTCAAGGGAACTCTAGAGAGTAGGCAAGGTCCCCGAGGTCAGGAGAGCCAGACTGCCGCCCCTCTCCTGGCCCGCAGACTGGGTTCCCAAGCGATGCAGAGCCCAGAGGTGGGGGAAGGAGGCTGCGGCCGGGCTGGGGGGAGGGGCGGGGGGACCAAGATGAAAGATGGGGCAGGAAAGGGGAAGTGAGCGAGAAGGGGCGGGTGTCAAGTCTTGCTGCCCTCCACCCTGGTAGCCTTGTAATACTCAAATACTTTCAGCAGAGTGGTCCAGTCACGCAGGTTTGCACGCGCGCACACACCCCCCCTCAGGCATGAGGCCTGCCGCACAAGGAGACGCCTGTGCACACACAGAGGCACAGCTTATGCTCACAGCACAACATGCTCAGCCTCCCACTTCTCTCCTTCACCCACACACCCCCGCCACCTGCCCTCACAACCACACGCCCCTCCCCCAGAAGCACACAGACCCTGGGCCTTCCCTGGCCACAGACAAGGATGCAGGCTCCCAGCAGACCCACAGCCCTCATGCTACTGTCCCTCTGCAAAAACATGAATAAGAGGAAGGCTGAGACATCTCATACCATCATTGAACTTCCATGTTGCCAGGGCATCGACCCCACAGCCTACCTACCCCTTGTCACCTGGGAGCCCCACTGAAATCCAGAGAGGAGCTGGGGCATACATAGTAATCCCAAGTGTCCCCATTCCAGGGTGCTCTCTGTTCCAATGAGTAGTTGCCTCCTTCTCCGAGGAGACCGTGAAACACCCACAGACCTGAGGGCTGTGAGGAGGAACACAGGGCCTTGGAACACCTGGCTGGTTGCTTGCTCTGTCCTCTCCATCTGGACCTGCCTGCTGCCTCTCTGCATGTTCCCAGGCTCCTGGCCCGCCCATTCTGGGCCTTCTCCAGGCCAGGAGGAGGGCCAGTGTGGACACGCACTGGCAGCTGGACCATCTTCCCCAGCTGTGGCTCAGACGCTCCTCACACTGGAGATGCTAGTCAGTGGCTCCCGCATCCGAAAGCTGAGTGACCGGGAGCCCCGGAAGCTGTCCCTGGGCCTCAGGGAGCTGTCGGTGGTGGAGGCTCCTGAATGGGCCTCAGCAGCCCGGGCCAGACAGTCCCCAGGCCCTCGCAGGCCCAGCCTGAGACACCCACAGCAGAGAAAGCCCAGCACGGCCCGGCAGACTTCCCGGCTGCGGAAGGAGTAGATGAGAGGGTTGACAGCCGAATTGAGCACGGCCAGCGCCAGGATCCAGTCCATGCCCCTCAGGTACTCCTGTGCCCAGACGTCGGAGCCAAAGATGTCAGCCAGCAGCAGACCGAAGAGTGGACCCCAGCAGACCACGAAAGCCACCAGGATCATGAGCACCGTGTTGAGCAGTCGGCGGGCCTTGCG